TCATGTTTTCATTGTGATTGTATTTAGTGATACATATGTATGTACTGTATGTTCACATATTTACTGCTTATGCTCTTTGCAATTCTACAGCATTCTGCAACAAAAATAGTACACATACAGTATTTACGTAGAAAAACATACAAAAAATCATTACGGTAGAACCTCCACAACATTGAGTCGTGTGTGACATCATCGCGGCAGTTTCTCCTTTGAACACTTTACAAATGCTTTTGGACATGTATCAGTTACTTTCATACAGTTCTCTGCTGTTTTATAACATTAACATTTGCTTCTGTCTTGTCAATCAGAATGAAACATACTTTTCACGACTGAATAGTTTCTGTAAAACCAGTAGTCCTCATTTCATCGCTTTGGTCATCACATACAAAACTGTAAGGTGAACAATTTTGAGTTGTCGTTTTTACAGTTCACCGAGCTCTCTCTCTCTCTCTCTCTGCTCACGCCTCTCTCTCTCTGCTCGCGTCTCTCTCTTTCTGCTCACGTCTCTCTCTCTCTGCTCGCGTCTCTCTCTGCTCACGTCTCTCTCTTTCTGCTCACGTCTCTCTCTCTCTGCTCACGTCTCTCTCTGCTCACCTCTCTCTCTCTCTCTCTGCTCACCTCTCTCTCTCTCTCTGCTCACGCCTCTCTCTCTCTGCTCGCGTCTCTCTCTTTCAGCTCACGTCTCTCTCTCTCTGCTCGCGTCTCTCTCTGCTCACGTCTCTCTCTGCTCACGTCTCTCTCTCTCTGCTCACGTCTCTCTCTCTCTGCTCACGTCTCTCTCTCTCTGCTCACGCTTCTCTCTCTGCTCGCGTCTCTCTCTCTCTGCTCTCTCTCTCTGCTCGCGTCTCTCTCTCTCTGCTCACGTCTCTCTCTCTCTCTGCTCGCGTCTCTCTCTCTCTGCTCGCGTCTCTCTCTCTCTGCTCACGTCTCTCTCTGCTCACCTCTCTCTCTCTCTGCTCACGTCTCTCTCTCTCTGCTCACGTCTCTCTCTGCTCGCGTCTCTCTCTCTCTGCTCACTCTCTCTCTCTCTCTCTCTGCTCGCGTCTCTCTCTCTCTGCTCACGTCTCTCTCTCTCTGCTCGCGTCTCTCTCTCTCTGCTCTCTCTCTCTGCTCGTGTCTCTCTCTCTCTGCTCACGTCTCTCTCTGCTCACCTCTCTCTCTCTCTCTCTGCTCACGCCTCTCTCTCTCTGCTCGCGTCTCTCTCTTTGTGCTCACGTCTCTCTCTCTCTGCTCGCGTCTCTCTCTGCTCACGTCTCTCTCTTTCTGCTCACGTCTCTCTCTCTCTGCTCACGTCTCTCTCTGCTCACGTCTCTCTCTGCTCACCTCTCTCTCTCTGCTCACCTCTCTCTCTCTCTCTCTGCTCACGCCTCTCTCTCTCTGCTCGCGTCTCTCTCTTTCAGCTCACGTCTCTCTCTCTCTGCTCACGTCTCTCTCTCTCTGCTCGCGTCTCTCTCTGCTCACGTCTCTCTCTGCTCACGTCTCTCTCTCTCTGCTCACGTCTCTCTCTCTCTGCTCACGTCTCTCTCTCTCTGCTCACGTCTCTCTCTGCTCGCGTCTCTCTCTCTCTGCTCTCTCTCTCTGCTCGCGTCTCTCTCTCTCTGCTCGCGTCTCTCTCTCTCTGCTCACGTCTCTCTCTCTGCTCACCTCTCTCTCTCTCTCTCTGCTCACGTCTCTCTCTCTCTGCTCACGTCTCTCTCTGCTCGCGTCTCTCTCTCTCTGCTCACCTCTCTCTCTCTCTCTCTGCTCGCGACAGTAATCTGAACTTAAAAAAGTAAGTTTTTACAGACTTGAAATTTCCAGTAACTTGAATTTAAACACTTAGTTGGCAGAACTTGGAAAACTTAACTGACACAACTTAATAAGTGTAGTTCTTCAAAACTTGAAGAATTAAGTTAATGCCTTCAACTCAAAAATCCTTCGCAGCTGGTTGCTTTGAAATTTTGAGTTGAACTAACTTTATCTTTTTTACAGTGTGCATGGACCAGAAGTCCAATTAAAATAATGGACAATTGCTCCTGCAGCCCTGAACAGGACATGCGAGGTGCGCGGGTCGGCCTGAAACCCGCAGTCAACCCGCGGGTCCCGCGGTTTCGGGCGGGTTGGATGCCTCAAAAATATGAGTCATGTCAGGTGCGGGTGGGTCGGGTCAGAAAGCTCCTGATCCCTATATAATATTATATATGTGAGCCACGGTATGAGAGTCCCTTGAGTACATTTGCAATCGCGCAGGGAGGCTGTTAAACAAAAAAATCATGCTGACAAACAGGATCGCTCCTTCCTGACTCCCCGCTTAAAGCCTCAGAACACTCCAGCCCGAGGACAGACGTGTGATCTACACAGAGGCACCGAGACTGATGACTGTGGGCCTCACAGCAGAGGCCAAAGCAGGGGCCTCATTACTTTAATACTTACAGTCTGTGGTAAATACACGGGCTACATGTGGTACACGTGCTTAGACTATATTAATATTGTATGTGTAACATTCAAAATAGATTGAGTGAATATTCCCTTTTCCTCATTTAGTGATTTGCGGAGGAGAGAGCAGCGAGAGAAGTTTGGCAGTTGAAATAAATGAATTTCAGCTTGCTAAATTATTTGAAAGCATCTTCATTATGATTGTTATATTTATGTATTTATTATAAATGTTAGAAATGCCAGAGAAAAGGCGTCTGCTTTTTTTCTGAGTGGGAGGCATTTTAAGCGTCCCGCACATCCGCACTGCTCATTTACTCAGCGGTCTTTACTATTAGATCCAGTGTTTTCTCCAGCGCCTGTGTGGTGTAGCGCGATTGTACAAGACTTTCCCGTGGACGTTCGGGGTTCAAGCCCCGGCCAATCCTCAATTTTTTATTAGCGGGGGGAGTATATGAATCAGATTACTCCGTTACTGAATAAAGTTGCATTTTTTTCCTGCAGTTTGGTTGGTGCAGATTGTGAAGTTTACTACCGTCTAGCAACTATTTTAAATGTGTTGGCCTAATTACTAAGTATGTTTTAGAAAACATGTAAACGTCAACAAAATCAAAAGTGTCATAGCCTGGACTTGAACCCGGGTCCTCTCACACCAGAGTCCACCTCGTTATCATTGAGCTATAAAGCCACAGAAAGTTGTCCCGTGAACAGAGAACAAAGACCGATGAGAAGCCAATTTTCCTAACCCTGCTCACAAGTGCCACCTGGTGGTTGTTTGGGTCATTGCAGCATCACTGGGGAAAAAATAAAATAAAAGACGCGTGAATCACACGTGAGTCTCGTGTGATTCACGCGTGAAACGCGACAAAACGAAATGGGACCTACTGTAAAAGCCGGAGACGCCCACTTCCCGGCCTTCTGAAGTCTGCAAAGCCTCCGCCGCCCCACCTCCTCCTTCTCTCTTCAGAGCGTGCTCGCCTGCTGCCTCTGCCGTCACCAGTGCCTAGGCCCCGGGGGGGATTATGCGCGCGAGCAAGCGCCGTGCTCAACAGCATCTCTCCCGGGCCTAGGGCGCCAAACATACTCAATCAATAAACTTCTAACTGCATTTTCCTCTTGGGTCTCTCCAAAGTGAACTGTATACTGTATGAGAAAGAAGAACAGTGTCTTCTGCTTCTCACTGGTCTCGCTCTGGTCTCTCTCTGGTCTCGCTCTGGTCTCTCTCTGGTCTCGCTTTCTGTTCTCTGGTCTCTCTCTCTGGTCTCTCTTTCTGTTCTCTGGTCTCTCTCTCTGGTCTCTCTCTGGTTTCTCTCTGCTCTCTCTGCTCTCTCACGTCTCTCTGGTTTCTCTTTCTGTTCTCTGGTTTCTCTCTAGTCTCTCTCTCTGGTCTCTCTCTGGTCTCTATCTGATCTCTCTCTCTGGTCTCTCTCTTGTCTCTCTCTGGTCTTTCTTACTACTACTCCTCAGACTGAATGATTTTTCTGACGGGAGTCGAGTTGTTTAGGAAGATGAGTTTGTGATTATACTGTAAGTTATAGAAAAGTTGGGAAAGCATTATTGAAATGAGACTTTTGAGAAGCACGCACACACACACACACGCACGCACGCACACACGCACACACACACACACCAAGAGGATTTGATGAAAAAATACTAAACAGGACACACATTTTTAATTTTTAATACTTTTTTATTGTTTTTATTTTTATCCCCCCCCCATTCAATATTTTTTTATTTTTCAGCCCAACAAAGCTTAAGGCATATCTTAAAAATCCACATTCTTAAGCTACACCAAAAGGCTTTGTTTTACCCAATTTGGTTGTGATTTTTTTTTTTTAAGTCGAGATAACCCCCCATTTAAATCTTTTTATTTTTGAGTTTTCCAATGCTCAAGGGATATCATAAAAATCTGCATTTTTACAATATGCCATTAAACATTTCAATATTACGTGATGCCATGCGATATTTAAATGAACCTTGTTTTTCCCAATTTGATTTTCAAATGTCAATGTTTTTTTATTTTTTCCCTTCTTTGTTGAATTTTATGAATTTAACCTTAATTTTATTTAATTTTTGTTTGTTTTTCATGCTTGTTTTTTGTCTTAATAATGTGTTTTTTATGTTCCCAGGCCTTCTGCTGTGACACCCTTCAGTAAGTGAAGGTGACCTCAGGCAGGAGTGATGTGCTCTTAACACGCTGATCTGAGGTATGCTCTCAGAGGACCAGGTGACACTCTGCTCCTCCTGGTCCTAAACATCTTAAAAACTTGAGAGAAGAAGAGGTTGAGAGGTCGTCGGCCTCTGTCCTCCTCACTGAAGTCTTGGAGCTGGATGTTCAGATTTCTCACCGGTGCCTCCACAAACCAGTCACTCTGGAGCAGGGCGGAGGAGATGGGTCCCAGCTCTTCCCGGAGACTTCTCGCCGCCTCTTTAGCTTTAGTTTTGAGGTCTTTGATCTTCAGGTCTGTTCTTTGGGGCATGGAGACTCTTCGTTCCACCTCACACAGTCGCAATTTACTTTTCCTTGTTCCCTAATTTCCAGGGACACGGGGGATTTGTCCAAAAGCTTTCGGATCTTCGTTGAAACCATGAAGTGAGCGGCATCGGAGCTGTCGTCCCCTATCTCTGGTGGGACGGTTTTCTCTAGTGGACTGACAGTTTCTGAAGGACTGCTCAAGTCCTGGAGGTTTGGGGTTTCTGGAGCAGGAGGTTCTTGGATAACCTCAGGTGTGTTACGGTCCTGCACCAGACTCTCAAGGTCAAGAGAAGAGATGAGGTCCAGGGACGAAGGAAGATCTACTGGACTGTCCTGCTCTGGAAAAGTCTGAGTCACAGTGCAGAGGGTCTGGACTGGATCCTCAGAGAAAGGCACCTCTGTGATTGGATTCTCTATGATTGATTCCTCTGTGATTGGATTCTCTATGATTGGTTCCTCTGTGATGGCTCCTCGGGGAAAGGCACCTCTGTGATTGGCTCGTTTTGGACAGGCACCTCTGTGATTGGCTCGTTTTGGACAGGTACCTCTGTGATTGGCTCTTCCGGAACAAAATCCTCAGACACAGGCTCCTCCAGGAGTAGTTCCTCAGAGACAGGCACTTCTCTGAATGGCTCCTCAGGGAAAGGCACTTCTGTGATTGGCTCCTCTGGGACAGGCACCTCTGTGATAGGCTCCTCAGGGAAAGGCACCTCTGTGATTGGCTCCTTTTGGACATGCACCTCAGTGATTGGCCCCTCGGGGAAAGGAACCTCTGTGATTGGCTCGTTTTGGACAGGCACCTCTGTGATTGGCTCGTTTTGGACAGGTACCTCTGTGATTGGCCCGTTATGGACAGGCACCTCTGTGATTGGCTTGTTTTGGACAGGCACCTCTGTGTTGGGCTCCTCGGGGACAGACCCTCTGTGATTGGCTCGTTTTGGACAGGCACCTCGGTGATTGGATCCTCAGAGACAGGCTTCTCTGGGATGGTCTCCTCTGGGCCGGTGGGGACCCCTCTCTCTGAGATGCAGGTGTGTCCTTCTGGGCTGGTGGGACAGTATCCTTAAACTTCTGCCAGGCCTCGAGCTTCTCTGTCTGTCGCAGTTTGAAGACCCTCTGCTGGAAGAGGAGCTCCTCGGAGGGGGACAGCTTAGGGTTGTCCAACTCCATCTGCTCTTTGAACCCCATCATGTGCAGCATCTTCTCTGCTGCCTCCAGCTTGGCCGTCTTCTTGTTTGGACCCAGGCCAGGCCAGACCCTTGACATGTCCTTTGGTCAACTCTGACCTCCATACAGAACTCGGACGCACGGTAGCCACGGTGTTGGAAGCCGACCACCCTGTACTCGGCCGGCCTCTGCTTCCACACCATCAGGATCTCTGCCAGGGTACTGATGGGGTCTTTCTTGTAGAAGAAGTAGACCCGCTGTGATGGGGTCCACCAGCTCCATGTGGGGTTTGGACCAGTAAGGAGTCAACGTCCTCTGGCAAAGGACGCTTGCCTCAGCTGATGCAAAACCAGGTGGGGCCTGAACCACATCCCACCAGGTCCCCTACTCTCAGCTGGTATGTGGAAGGTCGGTGCATGGCAAGGGCCCTCTTTTCCCATCTCATTGAACTGCAGCTGCAGGTGGTGCAGTAATGCCAGTTCGTACAGGAGGGAGAGGTCGGTCTTGTGGACTTCACTGGGGAGTCCACGCTGCATGTTGTCTGTAATAGTAGTAGTAATCTTTATTTATATACCGCCTTTTCACTGCAGATCTGAGTCTCAAAGCGGTTTACAATTGTTAATTTTGGGCATTTCTCTCTCTCACTCCACACAGAGATGGGGAGCGGGGTCGCCGGTTACAGTAGGCAACATTGCCAGAACTATTGGACATATTTTTAGTGGTAGGGGAAACCGGAGTACCCGAGGAAAAACCTACACAGACACGGGGAGAACATGCAAACACTCCACTCAGAAAGGCCCTGGTCCGACCAGGATTCGAACCCAGGACCTTCTTGCTGAGAGGCGAGAGTGCTATCCACTCAGCCACCGTGCCGCCCGTCTGTGTTTGTGTTTGCTTCTGTTTCTATAATGTGCTAAATTAATAACAACAGTTGTGGGACGAATATTCACTTAGCATGTTTTACATCTTCCTGAGGTAACCTTTTAAAGCCAACATTCTAGAATGACTTCATAAAGACAAGCTGGGTTGCCATGAAAACATAGCAACCGTCAGGCATGTGCACAGAGGGACTTCTCTTTTAAAATTTCCTAGTTGTTTATATCCTGTATAATTTTAAATCACATGGTTGTTTCTGTAATAAACTAATAATAACAATTTATTTTGTTGCCGGTGCGTGACTTGAGAACTCTCCCGCCGCTGGAGCTCTGCAGGACAGTCTGTGTGCAGGACATTTACGTGGGTGCCCCCTGCAGGTTCTGCTGTGACATTCAACAGGTCTCAGCGCAGTCAGAGGTCTGGACGAACATCAGGTTTCATTGATTTCATCCGAGTCTCGACAGATGAGCAAAGTATCATCAACTCATCAACAAAAAGAGTGTTGATGCTCTATGCTCAACCACTCCAAAGATGCTTTATATCAAGCATAAATACAAAAACAATAAAGTTATATCTTTACTGATTAGTCCTCACAAATCAAAGTGGGGGGGGGGGAGTTTATCAGTATTATGACCAGGTTTAAGTCCAATGTTTTGACTCTAATAGAGGACCAGAGAGAGAGACAATAAAGAGACCAGAGAGAGACAATGGACACACAAAAAACGTTATTACATGAAGGTCTTTCCTAAAACTAAACCTAATTCCAAAAGGTTTTCTTCTCTTTGCTTTGTTCACTCACACTCCAAACTCATCAGGTCTTAGTGATATATGAGGAACCTAAAAACACACACACTCACATCAGGTCTAAGTGAGATATTAGGACCTACAGCTTAAACAAGCACTTTAGGTCTGAGTGAAATATTTATCAATAGTTACCACCTTTCACGGAGAGCAACTCTGTAGGTGGACAAATAAAAATTTGAACTTTATATTAGAATTATTTATTTTTTATAAATTTTATTAATATTTTTGACACCTCACTTTTATATTTGTTTTTGATGTTTTAAATTGTAATTTAAACATGATTTTCCTACTGGAGTTAAGAACATTTTTCAGGGAGAAAATCTACTGACACAAGGAGAACAAACAGTCACTCACTACTCAATTATCTTTTTAAATTAGCTTGAGTCAAAATTTTGGCTATTCTACCCACCTCAGGGAATGTATTTAAGTTTGTGACAAAATAGGTGACATATGAGGTCAATTGTTGTGTGTGTTTAAAGTGTGTTAAGGTAGTTCCGTGCACGACCAGAGGGGCACATCAAACTTTTTGGGACGGAATGTTTCAGCCCCGACACACATTTTCACTATTTGTAAACATTTTGGAACATGCTTGATTTTTGGTGTGGAGCTTCTTCTGGGTCTCTACACAACACTGTAGTATGCATGGAAAAATGGGGACCTGAAAAAAGTCCCATTATTTCCTCAGGTCCCCATATTGAAGTTGTGTTATCAAACAAATCTCCTCATATGTCCACAAAACAAACGCACACACACACGCACACACCTACGCCACACACACACACACAAACGCTCTCTGACTTCTGTTTTGACTGAAGAACCAAATAATTTACACTGTGGTCGATTACATTCTCAAGTCTTCAACATAAAAAGACAAAATGAATGGCACATATGTAATAAAATGAGTGTTTGAGATATCCCGTAAACAGAGAGACATGAAGTCTTGAATTGATTTGTATTTGAGTTGATCTGTATTTAAGATCTTATAGTCTCAGAGACGCCAGAGCATCTCCCGACAAGAGGCTCAGTGCAGCTTTAAAATCTGAAAAATAAACTTTTTCTCTGGTTTTGCTGTGGGAGCTCATTGTCCGTTTCTTCTCTGAGCTCTGAGCCAAAAGATCTTTCAGGATTATTGTTACTGAGAATAAGATTAGATCACAGTCTGCGGAAATGTGATTGAAATTTTAAAACATGAATCCTAAAAAGTTATGCCCTGAATAAAGATGTGACCACAGTTTCAGACCAGGACTGACTCTGCGTCCCTCTGCTCTCTCCTCAAAGCTCTCTGTCCCTCTGCTCTCTCCTCAAAGCTCTCTGTCCCTCTGCTCTCTCCTCAAAGCTCTCTGTCCCTCTGCTCTCTTCAAAGCTCTCTGTCCCTCTGCTCTTTCCTCAAAGCTCTCTGTCCCTCTGCTCTCTCCTCAAAGCTCTCTGTCCCTCTGCTCTCTCCTCAAAGCTCTCTGTCCCTCTGCTCTCTTCAAAGCTCTCTGTCCCTCTGCTCTTTCCTCAAAGCTCTCTGTCCCTCTGCTCTCTCCTCAAAGCTCTCTGTCCCCCTGCTCTCTCCTCAAAGCTCTCTGTCCCTCTGCTCACCTTAAAGCTCTCTGTCCCCTCTGCTCACCTCAAAGCTCTCTGTCCCTCTGCTCTCTCCTCAAAGCTCTATGTCCCTCTGCTCTCTCCTCAAAGCTCTCTGTCCCTCTGCTCTCTCCTCAGAGCTCTCTGTCCCTCTGCTCTCTCCTCAAAGCTCTCTGTCCCCCTGCTCTCTCCTCAAAGCTCTCTATCCCTCTGCTCACCTTAAAGCTCTACTGTCCCTCTGCTCACCTTAAAGCTCTCTGTCCCTCTGCTCACCTTAAAGCTCTCTGTCCCTCTGCTCACCTCAAAGCTCTCTGTCCCTCTGCTCACCTTAAAGCTCTTTGTCCCTCTGCTCACCTTAAAGCTCTAAGTCCCTCTGCTCTCTCCCCAAATCTCTCTGTCCCTCTGCTCTCTGCTCAAAGCTCTCTGTCCCTCTGCTCTCTTCAAAGCTCTCTGTCCCTCTGCTCTCTCCTCAAAGCTCTCTGTCCCTCTGCTCTCTCCTCAAAGCTCTGTCCCTCTGCTCTCTTCAAAGCTCTCTGTCCCTCTGCTCTCTTCAAAGCTCTCTGTCCCTCTGCTCACCTTAAAGCTCTCTGTCCCTCTGCTCTCTCCTCAAAGCTATCTGTCCCTCTGCTCACCTTAAAGCTCTCTGTCCCTCTGCTCTCTCCTCAAAGCTATCTGTCCCTCTGCTCACCTTAAAGGTCTCTGTCCCTCTGCTCACCTCAAAGCTCTCTGTCCCTCTGCTCACCTCAAAGCTCTCTGTCCCTCTGCTCTCTCCTCAAAGCTATCTGTCCCTCTGCTCACCTCAAAGCTCTCTGTCCCTCTGCTCACCTTAAAGCTCTCTGTCCCTCTGCTCACCTCAAAGCTCTCTGTCTCTCTGCTCACCTTAAAGCTCTCTGTCCCTCTGCTCACCTCAAAGCTATCTGTCCCTCTGCTCACCTTAAAGCTCTCTGTCCCTCTGCTCACCTCAAAGCTCTCTGTCCCTCTGCTCACCTCAAAGCTCTCTGTCCCTCTGCTCACCTTAAAGCTCTCTGTCCCTCTGCTCACCTTAAAGCTCTCTGTCCCTCTGCTCACCTCAAAGCTCTCTGTCCCTCTGCTCACCTTAAAGCTCTCTGTCCCTCTGCTCACCTCAAAGCTATCTGTCCCTCTGCTCACCTTAAAGCTCTCTGTCCCTCTGCTCACCTCAAAGCTCTCTGTCCCTCTGCTCACCTCAAAGTCTCTTTCTACCCTCTGTTTCGCCACAGGCTCCTGGTTTGACACTACATCTCTGTAACTCGATGATAACATCACTCTTTTCACGGTCAGGGCTCAGTGTGTTTTAGTTCATGGGAAAATCTTTCCTGCTTCCATCTCCAAAACTGGTGTCCTGTCGCGTACTCTTTTTATTCTCTACTGGAACAGTTGTCAATCAACAGAGACGAGGGGCTTCACCTCGACTCACACTTGGGACTCACTTGTCCAGAAACCATAGCATGGTGGGGGCATGATCTGTCTCTGAGCATGGTCAGTCTGTGGGAGCGTGGTCAGTCTGTGGGAGCGTGGTCTGTCTGTGGGAGCGTGGTCTGTCTGTGGGAGCGTGGTCTGTCTGTGGGGGCATGGTCAGTCTGTGGGGGCGTGGTCTATCTGTAGGGGCGTGGTCAGTTTGTGGGGGCATGGTCAGTCTGTGGGGGCATGGTCAGTCTGTGGGGGCGTGGTCTATCTGTAGGGGCGTGGTCAGTTTGTGGGGGCATGGTCAGTCTGTGGGGGCGTGGTCTATCTGTAGGGGCGTGGTCAGTTTGTGGGGGCATGGTCTGTCTGTGGGGGCATGGTCAGTCTGTGGGGGCGTGGTCTATCTGTAGGGGCGTGGTGTCAGTTTGTGGGGGCATGGTCTGTCTGTGGGGGCATGGTCAGTCTGTGGGGGCGTGGTCTATCTGTAGGGGCGTGGTCAGTTTGTGGGGGCATGGTCTGTCTGTGGGGGCATGGTCTGTCTGTGGGCATGGTCAGTCTGTGGGGGCGTGGTCAGTCTTTGGGGGCGTGGTCAGTCTGTGGGGGCATGGTCAGTCTGTGGGAGCGTGGTCTGTCTGTGGGGGCATGGTCAGTCTGTGGGGGCATGGTCAGTCTGTGGGAGCGTGGTCAGTCTGTGGGAGCGTGGTCAGTCTGTGGGGGCATGGTCAGTCTGTGGGAGCATGGTCAGTCTTTGGGGGCGTGGTCAGTCTGTGGGGGCATGGTCTGTCTGTGGGGGCATGGTCAGTCTGTGGGAGCGTGGTCAGTCTGTGGGAGCGTGGTCAGTCTTTGTGGGCGTGGTCTATCTGTGGGGGCATGGTCAGTCTGTGGGGGCATGGTCAGTCTGTGGGAGCGTGGTCAGTCTGTGGGAGCGTGGTCAGTCTGTGGGGGCATGGTCAGTCTGTGGGAGCGTGGTCTGTCTGTGGGGGCATGGTCAGTCTGTGGGAGCGTGGTCAGTCTGTGGGAGCGTGGTCAGTCTTTGTGGGCGTGGTCTATCTGTGGGGGCGTGGTCAGTCTGTGGGAGCGTGGTCAGTCTGTGGGGGCATGGTCAGTCTGTGGGAGCGTGGTCAGTCTTTGTGGGCGTGGTCTATCTGTGGGAGCATGGTCAGTCTGTGGGAGCGTGGTCAGTCTTTGTGGGCGTGGTCTATCTGTGGGAGCGTGGTCAGTCTTTGGGGGCGTGGTCTGTCTGTGGGGGCGTGGTCAGTCTGTGGGAGCGTGGTCAGTCTTTGTGGGCGTGGTCTATCTGTGGGGGCGTGGTCAGTCTTTGGGGGCGTGGTCAGTCTGTGGGGGCATGGTCAGTCTGTGGGAGCGTGGTCAGTCTTTGTGGGCGTGGTCTATCTGTGGGGGCGTGGTCAGTCTTTGGGGGCATGGTCTGTCTGTGGGAGCGTGGTCAGTCTGTGGGGGGCATGGTCAGTCTGTGGGGGCATGGTCAGTCTGTGGGGGCGTGGTCTATCTGTGGGGGCATGGTCTGTCTGTGGGGGCATGGTCAGTCTGTGGGAGCGTGGTCTGTCTGTGGGCATGGTCAGTCTGTGGGGGCGTGGTCAGTCTTTGTGGGCGTGGTCTATCTGTGGGGGCATGGTCAGTCTGTGGGGGCATGGTCAGTCTTTGGGGGCGTGGTCAGTCTGTGGGGGCATGGTCTGTCTGTGGGGGCATGGTCAGTCTTTGGGGGCGTGGTCAGTCTGTGGGGGCATGGTCTGTCTGTGGGGGCGTGGTCAGTCTGTGGGGGCATGGTCAGTCTTTGGGGGCGTGGTCTATCTGTGGGGGCATGGTCAGTCTGTGGGGGCATGGTCAGTCTTTGGGGGCGTGGTCAGTCTGTGGGGGCATGGTCTGTCTGTGGGGGCGTGGTCAGTCTGTGGGGGCATTGTCAGACTGACATTGTTGCTGTGTATCTTATTGTACCGTTTTAAATTTAACTCCCTGTGTGTTTGTGCAGAGTCTGTGTGTGTGTTTTTGTGTTTGTGTGTTCTGCTTTGAAATTCTACAGCACATTAATCGTCCTCTGGGATCAGTAATCTGAATTACACGTCTGCGTGAAGGACAGCAATTTATGATTATGGTAATATGAGTTATGTTTGAGCCTCTGAGAAGGATCGGGATAAATAATGTTTACATAAATATTACAAACATCGGTTTTACAAAGTTTGATAGGAGCTCTGCCTCTCTGAGCACAAGACCATGTGCATGTGTAGACTCCTGCAGCCTCCTACAGACACAGAGACCACAGAGGATCCACTCAGACGGACACCACGTCAAATGTGCCAAAATATCAACTGCTTTAAGGTTCGTCTCCTCAGGGAAATGTGTGTCTCCCAGCAGTTTGACAATAACACACAACACAAATTCAGACTGAAAGACCGGCCACAGATCTCACCCATCCAGAGCCAGCCAATCACACAGCTCTACCAGCCTCGAGCCTCTGCCAATCACACAGCCCGACTAGCCTCTTGCCAACCCACTGACAGCAAAGCGGGCAGTTTAAAAGCAGCCACTCCCCGATAAACGGCGCTTCCTGAGGCTATTAACACCCACCACCTCCCCAGCCCCTCCTCAGCTCCTGGTTCCTGCTCGGGTTTCCCCACTGGCTCCTGCCCTGGCTCCTGCCCTGGCTCCTGCCCTGGCTCCTGCCCTGGCTCCTGCCCTGGCTCCTGCCCTGGCTCCTGCCCTGGCTCCTGCTCTGGCTCCTGCTCTGGCTCCTGCTCTGGCTCCTGCCCTGGCTCCTGCTCTGGCTCCTGCGCCACATTCACAGCATGCTTCTAGCCACCACCAGTGCTTGACCCCGGGGGGTCTGAGATCATCTACAGCAGCAGACGATCTCCCCTCTGCAAATGTCACTGCCGGGGTCAATGAGCCAAACAAATTAATCTTTATAATAAATTCATGTTTCTGTCTTGGTCTCTTCAGATTGAAATACTATTCCTTAAACAAAAGCCCCTTCTGAAACACACATTATCTTTCTACAACACACTCTCTCCTGGTCACTACACACTGTGTCATACACTTTGTTCATGAATACAATGCTGTGTTATCGTTGCGAAAACACATCTATTCAAAATACCAAACACATTGTGTGATTGAACATACTTTAAAACATTTACATTGAAAACATTTACAAAACGCGACAAACAAAAGCCGGAATTAAACAGGCCTCAGTTCAGCCATTTTCAGGACTTTGCAAGTTTGGAGGCAGGAAGGACAAGAAGAAGAGGAAGACAAGGAGAGAGGAGGTGGTTGAAGATATTTCTGATGACATTAGATCAGGGGTGCCCAAAGTTGGCCCGCCAGACCATTTCAGTTGGCCCGCCAAACATTGCCCACCTCCGCTGTAAGTTTCTATCTGCGTCCCTCAGCCTCGCTGAACACACAGTGACATGTCTGAGGTCGCACGGGCACAAAGTCGCCCTCTGAACTCTGACTGTCCAGTACTTGACTGTTGTATCGAGATACACTCCTCACTCATGGTTCACATCAACTTGCACTAAACTGTTTTTTAAAATCAAACACATCTTTCAAAACAATTGGGTGCAAGGCCCCTTTATGTTCTTTTTTTTCAGCCTACTATTATTATTTTTTGGAGCTATTTAATGTTTTATCAAATTGAGAGGATTGTGCTGCCGAACTGCCACTCTCCCTCCCCCTCCTCACCGGAGGGAAATGGCGAGTGGAACTATTCACCTGCGCAATCCGCACCCACCCGGTGTGTTAAAAAGGACGGACACAAACACTTCAGAGTGAGTTCAAGCAGGACAAGCAGGGATCGCAGCGCACGATCCACGCAAGTAGAAGCAACAAATACTGTGCAAAACAAACCCTTCTACATCCCCATGAAAGAAGCCGGTAAGCGCCGTCCTCACTCGCGATCATTGAATGTCAGACAGAACTTACGCGGAGTTTTATGATGCGTTCAAGAGCCCTTTGGAGGAGCGGAAACACGGACTCTTTAACAGTTACTTTGTTTTGATTGTTTATAAATGTTGTACTGTGTTTAGGCAAAACAAAACAAAACTCCAGGAACAAATCATGGTTAACTAGTCTGATTTTGTTAGTTTAATATTCAGTTCACTACTAATTGAGAATACTTGTCCTATGTTAAAAATATTAAGTTAAAAGAGTTAAAACCTGGTCATGTTTAGAAAATGCAGTTAGCAATTATGTTCCCAAATTCATTACTTAATGTTAAAATGTATTGTTTAAAAGTGTGCTAAAACCAGATCTATTGATCAGAGATGTCTCCCCTTTTTGATAAAAGCTAAGATAAAGTAATATGATTCAAATGTAGTTAAAAACTTTTGTTCAAAATAAATATATGAAAATAGACTTGGAAATTGCTTTGGCTCAGTGCAACAGAGATAATAAAAATAAAGAATAAAAAACACTTCTAAGGAATAAATTTAAATTTAAAATAGAGTTAGTTACTATTTACAATATACAAGTGCACATGGTGCACACAAAATGTATGTTTCTGTTCTCTTTTTGAGGTTTTATTATATGATTTTAACCTTTAAATAAGCCATGACAGAAAATCTCCCTCCTCTGGACCCTGATTACCCGGCCGGAATCTTTCCGTACTGTAGTCTCCTCAAACCTGCATATTTCCCTGGAGTCTCCACTTCACTGAGACTGTGTTGTTTTCATTCATTCAGCTGTGATTTGCACTGATAGACAACAATTAATGCATTTAAAAGAACTTGATCAAATCTACATTTATTTGTGTTTCATGCATAATATTGGTGTATTTGGCCCGCGGCCCACTGGCAAATTTTTACTTTGGCCCTTGGAAGCAAAAGGTTTGGGCACCTCTGCATTAGATCAATCATGGCCTCACACTGAAGGAAGCACAGAGTCCAGACACAGCTCCATCATCAGGACCTTCAGATGGAAACATGTCAGTTCTCTACTGCAGACTGTATCTACAGTATTTACAGTGCTGTAAAAACAAACCAAACCATTAGTAACAATATGTGCTTACATCATAAAGTACAGACCAAAGGTTTGGACATTCAAAGAATTTTTATTATTCTCATGATGATGAAAATTGTAGATTCCCACTGAAGGCATCAAAACTATGAATTAACTCATGTGGAATTATGTATGTACAAAAGAAAAAGTATGAAACAACTGAAAATATGTCTTATATTCTGGGTTCTTCAAAGTAGCACCTTTTGCTCTGATACTGCTTCACTCTTGGCATTCTCTTGATGAGCTTCAAGAGGTTGTGACCTGAAATTCTCTTGAAGGAGTTCCCATGCTGCGTAGCACTTGTTGGCCCTTTCGCCTTCACTCTGGGGTCCAGCCCAAAACCATCTGGACTGGGTTCAGGTCTGGTGACTGTGGAGGTCATCTGGCCCAGCACCATCACTCTCCTTATTGGTCAAACAGCCCTTACACAGTTTGGTGTGGATCTACAGTCAGTAGTCATGAAAAGAAAGGACACTCAATGAATGAGAAAGTGTGTCCAAACGTTTGATCTGTACTGTGTGTATAGAGAATACACCTTGAGAAAACCTTCTCAAGGTGGTGGTAGTTAACGCCTTTTCACCCAACAACAGGAAATTGCCTTTGTGGAAATAGTCCGAGTAGGGACCACAATCCATAATCCACCCACACACAACTGCACATTTTTAAAGACCAAGGTCACCCAAAGGGCTTTCTAATGTTCAAGTTCAGATATTGTTTCATTCTCTCCACATGATGGAAGCGAGACGACGAACACACTGGATCAAAGCCTCTGACCAACACCATCCATTCACTCACTCGTTACATTCTGACCATTTGCATATTTTCAGGTAGGGGAAACCAGAGCACCCAGAAGAATCCTACAAAGACACGAGGAGAACATGCAAACTCCTTTTCCAAAGGCCCTTTTCCGACCGGGATTCGAAACTAGGACCCTCTAGCTGAGAATCAAGAGTGCTAACCACTCAGCCCCTAATAGTTCTCCTACATCTAAGTAAATAAAAAAAATACATTGCTTTCTTCAAGGAGTGAATATTTAAGGGTTAACCTATTTCTCGTCTAGTCCTGGACCAAACAGTGTCAAACTGATCTAGTCCTGGTTTAGTCGTGATCCAGACCCGTGACTTATGTCAGCTGCTTGTGTTAGAATGAGCTCTTCTAGCTTCAAACATTTATGTGACTGAACAGAACTCGTCTGCACTGATGAGTAAAACGCTGACTAAACATATTCTCCCATCCCATTATCTCTTGTGCCGTTCACCAGTGAAGAATCCAGAATGAAAATCCATTTAGTTCCAGACATTGACAGCAGCTTCACATTCACAGGTTTCGCTGCAGCCTCAGTTTTTACACTCAATTGGGATCGTTATAGACTGAGAGCCACAGGAGCCGTGTAAAGCACAGTCAAACCTCTCTGTGGGGGGTGAAGATTATCTCCACATTTTACAGCTCTCAGACAAAAAAGGAACAATCTTCATGAACAAATGGATGGAGGAAAGTCATTCCCCGGGCTGTAATCACTCCTCTGTGTCGAATAGAAAAGTCGAGAGATTGGTCCTGATTTAGTCCTCGACACATTCATAGAGCAGCGTGTTGGCTGAGGGATTAGCACTCGAGCTGCTTAACAAGAGGGTCCTGGGTTTGATTCTATCTCCAAATCTTTCTGAGTGGAATTTTTATGTTCTCCCTGTGTCTGAAGAGGTTTCCTCCAAGTGCTCCGGTTTCCCCTGCCACTGAACACATCTTTGGGGCCAGGACAGAAAATAAAGATTCTGTGGGACTCAATCATTATTTATTTTTATCCCTTTTATTCTTCCATTTGTGGGTCAGGGGTCCACGGTAAGATGGCTGCTCCATCAGCAACAACACAGCCTTGGTGTTTCAGAGGGAG